ATATATATATATATATATATATATATGTGTGTGTGTGTGTGTGGAGAGGGTTATAATAATATTGGTGTAACTTTTACTAAGTATTACACTACTCAATAACTTTATATTAAATATGAATTTTGTAAATTCAACCGTTAGATAGAAGTTATTGAGCGGTTTAATACTTAATAAAAGTTACATCGATATTATTATAACCCTCCTCGCAGTGTTTTAGAAACTGAACCGGTCATTGAACCGGTGAGAGTACTGGGTCAATGGATCACTGGTTAAACCGGTGGGTTACATAATAAACCGCATAACCCGGATTCTATTAAAAAAAATTAAAAAAATATTTGTTATACATATTTCATACCTATAAATTTCAAAAAAAAAAAAATCACATCATACCTTAAAAGAAACTCCAAAAAAATTACAAACACATTTTAACATAATTTTATAATGTCATTCATGAGTTTTAAGCAAATAAAACAAGTTCTAAATATGAGTTTCAAACAAGTAAAAAAAACACATAAGTTCCAAGCTAACTTATAAGTTCAAACATATAACAAGTCACATAACAAAGCTACAAATAGCATTTAAACATAATTGAAGTACAAGATTTAAACAAATCTATATAAACTATTTATGTCCAAGGAGTAAAAGTTGTGGCCACCACTCTAACTTCCTCAATATTTCTTTTATTTAAATTCATGTTTTCCATAGTATCATCTTGTGCTTGTGCATCATCATCATCATCCTTATCCAAATTTAATTGATCTATGACAATAATTTAGAAATAAGTTAGTAATTACAAATTCAAATTTAGTGATAACAAATACAAAATAATGAAATAACAATATAAAAAAATACCAATGTCACTTGAAATTGGTTGGATGGTTATATTTGCAAGGTCATTACGTAATGCATCCACTTCCTCATTAGTTAAAAATGGTGGGGAATCCTCCATTACCCAATTAGAATGGTCATCAACCGTTTGAAGATTAATAGGATCGTAACTTTGATGTCTCTTTTTCCTAAGCACATGTAAATATGTAATGTATTTAAATCTAAGCACATGTATGTAGAAATAAAATGACACAAAAAAAAGAAAGAAACATAATAATACCTATGTTGTAACCGCAAGTTCTAACGAACAAAAACTAGATCATTAAGCTTTTGATGCTCCAACCTATTTCTTTTTTTTGAATGAATATGCTCAAATACACTCCAGTTACGTTCACAACCTAAAGCACTACAAGTTTGACTTAAAACACGAATAACTAACTTTTGTAGATTTGGTGCACCACAAACGTAAGATTCCCACCATTGATCTAGAATACTGCATGAAATAAATCAGTATATGTATTAAACTTAAATAAACATTAAGGATCACAAAGTCACAAGTTATGAAGTTACTTGGAATAATTGTATTTCTTTCATACAAAGCAGATTGCCTTCCAAAATCTAACTCAGCATCTTTATATATTCTCATCTCAGTAGTCAATTTGTTTCGTAGTTCAGGATCTCCATGAGAATACTTTTCAATCACATCTAAAACTCCAGATGTTGTGCAGAAATGTTGTTCAAATTCTTCATCATTAAATCTACAAGCTAGATTCAACTAATAACCAGCAGCATGAAGATTTCTACGAAGCTGTGAATCCCAACGGTTATCTATGGTCTTCAAGTAAGGTTCCACTTTTATCTTATTTCTTCTAAACCTTATCATTATCTCTTCTCTAGCTTTATGTATAGCTTGGGAAAGAAAACCCATGGCAGGTTTATCTTCACTATCAACAATATGCAACACACGTACAAGTGGTTCTGTGAGTTTTACTATATCAGCACATTTAGTCCAAAACCCAGAGTTTAAGACTTGTTCCACAAATTTCTTTGCTTTTGCTTCTTTGGCATAAGCTGAGCTTGTCCATTCCTTAGATGTTACCATGGCTCTTAGTGCATTTTTTTGAGCCAAAATACTTTGCAAAACAATAAAATTAGTTGCAAACCGAGTTGGAGCAGGACGAAGTATTTCTCTTCCACCTGTGTGCTTTCTCATCAAATACAATGCATAACAATGATTGTAGACATATTTAGTAATATTTGAGGCATGTGACACAGCTATACTTACTTCCTCTAACTTTCCCATGTCTTGCAACATCAAATTAATGCAATGTGCTGCACAAGGAGACCAAAATAATTTAGGAAACTCTGCTTCCAATAACCTACCAGCGGCAACATAATTGGCAGCATTGTCTGTCACCATGTGAACAATATAATATATTTTTCATTTTCCTTAAGCAATTTACAATGCCCCCAAGCTATATCAGTTTTCCCTCTAATATTCTTTTGGAAAGAGTTTTGAGCAGAACCCTCTTGTGATGATGGCGTTTCACCAGTTGTCATGCCTAATATCAAAATATCATTCAATAACAACCAACTAAAAAATTATTGTAAATTAAATCAACCAAAATTAATATAATAATGAGAAAATCAAAGAGTAGCTAACAATTACATAATGTTAAAAACAACCAAATTATAAATTCAAATAACAGCTAACATAATGTCAAAGTGTAATCAAATTAATAACCAAAAAGAAGCTATTATAAAGCATATGGTGTAATGAA